TACCAGACTCAGAAGTCACATCACCCTGGACAGCACTGTCTTTTGTGCTTTCCCTTTTCAATTAATCTCTTCCACACAACTTTAAAATTGCCTTTTTAGCAATTTGGATCTGAATGATAAGTTGAAGTTCATAATAACCCAATGTCGTAAAATTACAGCTGCATCTTGGCTTTCTACTCTCTTGGTGTGTTGCTTGGTAAATTGTAGGTGGCTCCAACACTTATTAAGTTGCCGGGAAGCAATGACGAGTCTCTGTATTAAGGAATTAAATGACCTCTTAGAATCTTTCCACTAAAATATATTCTCCCAGGAAAGCTAGGTCTCAACTGACTAATGATTTGGGAGGAGGGTCTTTTGAGAAGGGCATCCAGTGTAGCCTTTCCTGTTTTCTCTAGTTGCTATTTTAGGGATGAGAGAGAGAGAGAGAGAGAGAGAGAGAGAGAGAGAGAGAGAGAGAGACTCTCAAAGTAGGTCAAGTTTTGCCTAGTTGTCATGACATCTTAACACCTGCCAACTTGACGTGGCATCAAGCTAAGGAGGAATTTTCTTCTCACTGTCCACTGTCCTCACTGTCCCTCCTCTGACCAAGCAGGACATGGGGATAGTCCATTATTGAATTGACGTTTTCTTAAATGTCCAATTTAAGAAAAGGGTATTATTTATCTTTAAATTATTAAGTTTATGTAAATAAAGCAGATGAAACTAAGCTCTAAAATCATGTAGTATGTTACAAGACTACTTTGTTGTGTGCGTGTGTGTGTGTGTGTAGACAGAGAGGGATGAGAGAGAGAAAATTAATCATTCTAACATTAACCATCTAAATTTTACTTGTATAGTAAAGCACAGTTATTAGGCATGTAAATCACAGACACAGCCTTCTACAAGCCTCATAAAAGAGGTGCCCTTTGATGATGTTTCTATATGACACTATGTTCCTGTTACAGTGTTTTTTGTTATCATTTCCCTTCCTTCTTAACCACTGAGTGAAACTCCTATTAAAATGAGACATTTTTGAGGTTAATATTTATTTAATCTAAACATTCCATTTTAAACATAAGACCTGGACTCTGTACCAAAAGCCCCTTTTCAGTCACTCAATAACTTTGCTCTTATTTGACAGTTTTGACAATGATAAATGGGAATCTGTTTACCTTTTTCTGCTGAAAATTAGGGCATTGCACTTTGGTTTTAGAGTCAATGACTTTTGAATAATTTTGGGCTACATGCCTAACTTATCTGTCCCTTTAGATACTTTTTTTTTTTTCTTTTTGGAGTGCTGGGGATTGAACCCAGGGCCTCAAGCATGCTAAGCCAAGCTCTACCACTGAGCTACATCCTCAGCCCAGCTGTCCCTTTAGAATAATTATCATTTCAATCACAAGGGCAACATCTCGTCCTTATTTAGTTAGAATGAGTTTTTAAAAAAAAAAATATATATATTTTAGACAATGATGGACCTTTATTTTATTTATTTGTTATTTATATGTGGTGCTGAGAGTCGAACACAGTGCCTCACACATTCTAGGCAAGCACTCTACCACTGAGCCACAAACCCAATCCTAGAATGAGTTTTAAGATGCAGATAGCATTAACTTTTCTTGATATTTCAGAAAGGTGTTTTCAAGTCTCATCATTATTATGAAGCATTTTAGTGAAATGCTTTTGGGGCTGAGGCAAAGTCCGAGCCTGGGGCATCTCAGTGTAGCTCAAGCAGGTCAGCCATAGCCCCCAATCTACTGCCAGGCCCCCTTCTGCCTTCTGAGGGTGCCTTCATTGTCTGTCTTTACCTGGGAGTCTCTGCCAAGTCAGTGGTGCCCTGGACTCTCATCGCAGGAACAAGAGAGTGTTTTAATATCTGTTTATGTCATATGCCTTAATGACAACATCACTCTTCAGATTCCAACAACTTGAATATGATGGCTTAAGTATAAATCTATGTAAAATATCTACCTATATTATTCTTTATTAGCCTAATTAATAATTGACAAAAATATAAGTTGCTCTGTTCTCTGGGCAAAACATGAAGGGTTACACAATTTTATTCTACAAGCAGTATAGGGAAACTACAGAGTTTTAAAATTACTCTCCCCTATTTATTTATTTACCTCTTTTTTGATGCTGGGGATTGAACCCAAGGCCTGGCACATGTTAAACTTGTGTTCTACTACTGAGCTCACCCCCTACCCATGTTCCTATTTTTAACTATCCAAACATGAAGGAACCCAGTCTGTGCATGTACACAGTCATAGCTGTGTGGACTATAGGCAAGGTTCTTAACCATTCTGGGCCTAATTTTCTTCACTCAAGGAACTAATTCTCTCTCTCTCTCTTTTTTTCCTTTCTGTATTCCAACAACACAGTAACATTGTTTTTTGTTTGTTTTTGATATGTTACATTGGAGAAGGTTTTTTCCCCTTTAAAAAAAATTAATTTTGGTAAAGAATGAAATTGACCATCTTAACCATTTGAGTAGTGGTTAAGTATATTCACAGTATTGTATAATCTTCACATCTTGCAAAACTGAAACTCTCATTAAATCATATTTCCCTATTTTCCCTCAACCCCAGCCCCTGGCAAGCAACATTTTGCCAGATCCCTCATATACATGGAATCATGCATGTTTATTCTTTTTTGTCTGGCTTACTTTCATAGACCATAATGTCTTCAAGGTTCATCCACGAAGTAGCATAAGTAAGAATCTCCTTCCTTTTTAAGGCTGAAGTGATGACCCTAAGGAAGGAAGGAAGGAAGGAAGAAAAGAGAAAGGAAAACAAAGGAAAAGGAAAAGAAAACTTATTCCTGAAGGTAGCTAGGATTGTAACGTTTTAGGATAGAACAGGCCTTGAAATCCAATCTATTATTTTCACACGTGGAGGTTGAAGCCCAAAGAAGGTAAGTGACTCACAGGAGCTCATCCTGCAGGTTGGTGAGGAGTCTGGGTCAGAGCCCAGGTTCTGGGAAATGCAAGTCCTCTACCACAGGAAGTGCTGGGGCTGCATCAGGAGAATTCTAAGAAGAGTCACCAGGTTTAAATAACAAGAGGTAGATGGGAAACAGCTTTGGCTGCAGGACACATGGACCTGGAATGCAGGGCAGACCCAGCTGGGGTTGGGGTGTGGGATGTTGAGGTGGGGGTGGAGGGATGGAAGAATAGTATGGGGAAGGGGAAGGCGACACAGGAGGAGAAAGGCAGGTCAGGCACTGAGAACTGAGCCTTGGGGGAGGAACCAGGCTTTGAAAGGTGCTAGTGAATAAAAACATGCAAATAACTCCACCCTATAGGAGCTAAATCAAGTATTTTTCATGCCCACCTCCTCCACTAAGTTTAGTGAAGAAATCATGGAGTTCTCAGTGATTCCCCTCACCTGTCCACAGATGCTTGGTATACCTGAAAATAGGACAAAGACATTAAGGCTACCCAGAGAAAAATCCTAGCTTGCAAATGCCTCCTTGGGGAAACAGATTGACACTCTGGCCCATTAAACCATAATCAACACTCTGACAAGTGTGATGCGATTTCATCAGGAACTTTCTTGTTTGGGATAGAACACTTGAGTTGCTGGGGTGGCTATAAGGGGTGATATTCATTCAGAAGAGAACAGAAGCAGGAAGGAAACCCAGAAGAGGGATCCATGCATGTGCTCCTCTGCTTGATCTTGGCCTCATTTGTCTGCAGTTGTGGACCTGGGTATTTGGTGGTTAATCTGCCTTGACCAGAACAGTCTGACTGTGAATTCCTACAGTCTCCTGATTTATGATGATTTTACTTTCTCAACCCAGTTAATTTTTTCTTACACCAGAGTTTTGTCTCAGATGATTCATTAATAGTGGTATCAGGCAAAACATTACATAATGTGTATGTTTTATAGGTACCCAGAATGTATTCCTGCTACCCACGGGAACTCTAATTTGATGTTCATTTATTTCGAGAGACTTTGTTTTCTAAGAACTAATTCTTCAAAGACTTATCGAAGAGAGCTAAGCCACCTTTATGGTGGACACAATTTTCTTTTTCTCCCATGCTCCAATTCCTGGCTGGCTATAAAGCTATCAGCCTCATTTCCATATCAAACAAAGAGGAGGCAGAAAAATACTCCCCTGATCCACATAAAAAGACACATTACTGCAGATTGTCTAAGAACTTGTTTTTATGGCCAAAATTAGCAAATTATTCACAGTAATAGGTGAGTCAGATGACAATAGTATTTAAGAGAACAAAGCTGTTCCTCAGGACTCTGACCCCAAAGGCAGGTCCCCAGCTGCCTGAACATCTCTGCATACTGACAGCCAGAAAGCTACAGAGAGAGGAGGTGGGGGGAGAGGGAGGCGCAACCAGGAAGTCTGCCACTTAGCCGGCACAGCTACTAGAAAATACATTCCAGGGCTTGCTCCCTGCCTGCCCAGAGGCTCCATGGGTGGCCACTGTGTTAACTTAGTGGCACACATGGCTCCCATCTTGATAGTGGTCCCAGGGAAACTGGGGGACTTCAGTCACCCAATTGCTATTTCCTTCCTTGATCTGAAACCTTTCTGGAGGTTTTGGAGACTCTCAGCTGAAACAGGAGCTGCCAACTGCTAGGTATGAGCAGAATACTCTTGACCTGCTCTTAATTGATATTGATTTAATAACTTGCTTGGAAATGTACACTGGGGTGCAAGGTGTTAAAAACATTCTTGGCACCTTTCTGTATGAGACCTGTCCTGGGGACAGTTTATCCAGCCAGGGTAAATTGTTGTTGACCATCTGGGATTCAGCTACCCTTCCAATGAGGCCATGGTAAAAGATGAAATAAATATGCCCTGAAACTGGACCTAGTAACTTGGCCCTCCAGAAGGGAAATATGTCCTCAGGCAGGAGCTGGAATCCATCTGTGGGCAAATGGGCCCAGCATTCCAGAAGTAAAACCTGCAAGGAGCCCAATGAAGCGAGCAACTTGAGAATTTAGGCTGCTGTTTGTTGAACAAATACCTAAGATCAGTCCCCACTGTCCATAAGTAGAGGATATGTCTGGTGTCCTGGCTTCTCAGGGACCTGTCCTCTGCCAGTTGGCAGCTAGGGCTCTCCAAGAGTGCCTCCAACCCTAGGGATTCTGGGCACTAGCTCAGAGGTGCTTAGATCTGGCTGCAGGTGAAAATCACTGAGGAGATTTCAAACATATCAATAATCCAGGCCTCGTTTATACTAAGAAAATCACAATCTGTGAGGCCTAGGCACTGCTTTTTTTTATTTTTTCTTTTCTTTTAAAACTTTTACATTGAAGGTCTGGGAGGTTTCCTTCGTGGTAGAGTGTAAGTTTAATATGCAAAGACCCCAGGTTTGATCCCCAGCACCACAAACACAAAAACAACCTCTTACATTAAAGTAATTACAGATATACAGGAAGTTATAAAATACAGACATGTCCCATGTACCCTTCATCCAGCGTCCCCCAATGATCACATCTAACTATAGTTGAATATCAAAATCAGGAAATTGACATTAATATATGTGTATAGTCTAGGTCATTTTATCACATGTGTAGATTTTTGTAACCACTGCTGAAATAAAGACACAGAAATATTGCTTTATTGCAAGACTCCTTCCTATTACCCCTTTATAGTCAAATCTACACTTCACATTCTATCACCAACCCCTAGCAATCATTAATCTGTTCATCTCTCCAATTTTATCATTTTGAGAATGTTATGGAAATGAAATTGTATAGTATGTAACCTTTTGACACTGGCTTTTTTTTTTCCCCACTCAAAATAATCCCCTTGAGAGCCATTCAAATTGTTGTGTGTATCAGTTGCTCCTTTTTATTCCTGCTTAGCATTCCATTGTATGGACACACCATTATTTATTGATTCACCCAATAAAGGACTTTTTGATTATTTCCAGTTTGGGGTTATTATAAATTAGGTCTCTGTAAATATTTGTACTTTGTATGAGTGTGTGTGTGTGTGTGTGTGTATTTTTTCATTTATTTCACTTTTATAAAAGCTTCCTAGGTGACTCCCATGAGAATCAAGGCTAGCAACCCTTGGACTAGGGGAAAATAAAAAAGTGGCTACCAAATGTCTCAACTATTTATTAAATCCTCTTTGTGACAAGGTTGGTTGTATATCAGAATGCATAAGAACACAGATGCCAGAGTCAGGCTGCCTGGATTCAAATCCTGGCCCTGCCACTTAATGGCTTAACCTTACTATGCCTTAGTATCTCATCTATAAAATGGGGCAGTGACACCAACCTCACAGTGTTTTAACATGTATTATGTAACGAATGCATAAGATATGTAGAGGATTAATACACAGCTCAATAAATTGGTGCTTATTATCACACTGGATATTGCCAATTCTTGGCTTAAAACTCCTCAATGACTATTACAATGGATGTCTCAGATCCTACACATAAGCCTACATGAACTTGTGTTGATGACTTACTATGGTGCTAAGGTCTAAGGATGGGTGGCACTTTCTCCTGAAAACCTTCTACTGGTTTTGCCCCTTCCCTATGCTCCTCAACACGCTAGGTTGCCCATTATGCCCATTACTGTTATGCCAGTTCTCCTGGACATTGGAATTGCCTTTTTATATGTTTGCCTCCATCTGTTTATACTTGAGAGCTCCTTAAAGGCAGGGGCTTGGTGTCCTGCTTGCTGCTGCATCTCTGGTACCTAGCATGGTACTTTTCAGTCTTCATTAAATATATGTTGAACAAATGAATGAACCAGAGTCCTGTTAGTGTGAGTAGCAGGAAAGGATTTAAAGCCTGGTAAGTCCCTGGGGAGGTCCTGATCTGCTGCTTATTCAGGAAGCCTCTGCAGAAGGTGGAGCCCGGGGTCAGTCCCTGACTTGCTCCTGCTGGGAGTTGCAAGGCCCTTAGTTTCCTCAGGAGTTTGCTCAGCTCCATCTGAGTAAGACACCACAGGCTGGGAGGATGCAAACAAGGGCAGCAACATGTCATCCTGAAGTCTGTAAAAGCGAATAAATTAGGACTCACAATTAGAAGAGACAAGAGTGTGAAGTGGTAGACCAAGTACTTTCTCGCCCCTTGGAGTATTTATCTGGAAAATGTGGAAAAGAATACCTTCCGCCCAGATTTTGGGGTCAGAATGCCTGGCTCCCAGCTGCTCCACTTATTACTTTGTGACTTTGGACACTTAACCTCCCCATGCCTCATTTTTTCATCTCTAAGATATGTGTAATCACAGTACTTACTTTCTACGGTTATGAGGATTAAAATAGTTCATAAATATTTAGGATGATGCACAGAATTAATATTAATCAAATTAAAGAAAAAACCCACCCAAATACAAGAGGTTAAAGGATGGCTGTGGGAATCAGACAGAAGGAAAGCGCAGCCCTGTTGTCCATATGATTCTGTATGGCTTTCCAAAGAAGATTTCGCTCGCGCTTTTAGTCTACATTCAAAATTACACACTCGAATAAATACCCAGAAAATGGTGAAACTGTAGCAAGGAGCCGTGGGACACCATGGAACCAATCCTCTCAGGAGGGACCAGAAGTTGCCACCATCTGATGTCTGCCTTGTGGCTGCTTGAAAGGAAGTTGGGGGTAGAAGTCCAGCTCCTAGTGGACAGGTGTTTGAAACCCAGAGCCATCCTTACAGTTGGCACCTCGGTGAGGTCTCCACAGACAGGAGCGGATTAAGTCGAGAGGAGACCAAATTGCTCTTCCACCTGGTGCTGGTGGCCCCAGCAGGACAGGGCTGAGGCTCAGTGACAGAGTGTGGGCAACCACAGCTAAAACCTTCATTTGCTTATGTTCTGTTCTGCAGAGAAATCTCAAGTTCTGGTCCCCAGAGCAGTCAATCCAACGACTTTCATAGATACTGTCATATTGGCATTATATTTCCATCTGGCCACAACTGTTTCAAAGAATCAGCCGCATCTCTTTTATTATCAAAAGAATAATGTAATTAATGCAAAATTTTAGGCCCTGAATTTAACCGTCAGAAGCAAAATAAAAAATCAGTACCATGGTCATTACCTTTCCTTAGAACTTTTGATGTGAGTTAAAGAAAAGAGAATACCAGAAAAGAAAGGAATTTTGAAGTATTTTATTCTTGTTTTCTATTAGGAATTCAATCTCTTTTTTTTGGTGGGGGGGAGTACTAGGGATTGAACTCAGGGGAATTTGACCAGTGAGCCATATCCCCAGCCCTATTTTGTATTTTATTTAGAGACAGGTTCTCACTGAGTTGCTTAGCACCTTCCATTGCTGAGGCTGACTTTGAACTTGTGATCCTCCCAAGCTGCTGGGACTACAAGCATGTGTCACCACGCCCAGGAGCAGTTCAATTTTGACTTTATTGATTTTTATTAATATATAGAGATTTTTCAGAACTCAAGTAGAGCATATAGGCAAAATTGGGAACATAATAAGAAAGTAAGTTCGTCTGAAATTAAAATATAAATATTTATGAAATGGTTGTATATCTTTGGAAGTTTCTCAAACTGCCATAAGAAATGATCTGCAAATGTGACTGATAAGACTAACTAAGATGAACAGGATTCTAATTAGTGGTGTTTTGCTTTTCCTAAGACACTGTTGTAAGGTCAGAAGATTGTGGTGATGGAGGTAGAGAATGGGCAAGAATTTTGGAGGATGGAGTATTTGTCAGTCATGGGCAGATGAGGCTCAGTTGGCCTGACTGAGGCAGGGTTTTCTCTGTCTTCAGGAAAACTCCCCTGAGCAGAGAGCCGCCAATGGAGATGATGCCCAGTTATCCTAACTGCACACTGGCTCACTTCAGACAGGGCCCCTTGAGAGTGCAGAGGCCTGCACCCACCTTGAACACTGATCAGTCATCATGGCTAAAGGCTTGGGACTCAACATTTCCATGCATGGCCTGGGTGGCTGTAATGCAGAGCCTCCCAGCCAGCACTTGAGAACCTTCCTATGGCTCCTCTACCTCATGGACTTCAGCCTCTCCAAACACTCATCCTAACTTGGAGTGTGGTTAGATTTTCCTACTGACAATAAATTCCCTTTCTGTTTTATTCATTCATCATCTGAAAGATTAGAAAGAGAGGTTTCAGCTCTCCTAAAAGCTCAGGAGGGCAGCAGAGGTGTCTCAGGGATCAGGGGTTGAAGAATCCATGGGAGCAGCTCCGCCCTGCAGAACTGTTTCACAGACTTTCTCCCAGGCTTTCCTCACACTTCACAGGAAGAAAAAGATCTTGACTTAAAACATGATGAAAACTTTTAGATTGCACTGATCAATCATCCAGAGCCAGAATATCACATGATAGTCTGAAGAAATTGAGTCCTGAAGCGTGCCAGGCTGAGGCTGCACTGTGGGTAGGTGGTGACCCTACAAAGGCACAGGCCCCCACGTATTCTGGTCTAAATTTTCTTGCTTCTCTCTTACATCAGTCCACTCTCAAGTCTCACACAGCCCTTGTTTTTTTTGTAATTTTCAGAAGTTCCAATGAAAACAGAAGAGTTGGAATCCATCTTCTCGCCGTGGGAAGTCTATCCATTACCTGCTATGCTCCACACCTGTCCTTGAACTATGGAAACCAGAGTGTACATCACACACAGCCTTTTATATTCTTTTACCATAAAGATTTCTCCCTGGTTTTACATAGTTAACGAAATCTTAATTTCTAACAGTTACACAATAATCCATTATTATGATGTGCCAAATTTATTCATTGACTAAAAATGCAGTTTGTAAGGCCTTTCCTCAGGAGGATTGGTGGCAAGTCCATTCATAGAACCTTTTAACAAGAAAGAGAAAGATTTAAAACAGGATTAGATACTGTTAAAAAGATTACATGGAAAAGTATTCTACATTCAAGAATGAATTAAATTATAGTTAGGTTTCTTCAAATATAAATAATATACATCTAATGAAGGGAAAAGGGTCAGCTACTCTCTTCCCTTTAATATTTCTTACCTAATAATGACTACTGAATATTCAATGCTGGAATACCAACATTGCCAACCTTTTAGTTTTCATGGTACATAGGCCTGTTTGAAAATTGAAAATAGTATTTATACTGTTTTTAAGAGTATACTATAAAATTTTTTTTGTACTTTTTTTTATAACCAGGCTTCTTTTTCCTCCTTTTTGAGCTATTTTAAGACTAGATAGTATTCCATTATATGGTTACACTACAATGCCCTACTTGTGAATATTTAAATGACTTCCAATGGGGTTTTGTTTCATTGTTTTTGCTATTACATACAATGCTGCAAAGAACAATATTTTGTACATATCTCAGACTGGTCTCTCAGGATATATCCCTTTTGGGGGAACAGCTGAGCAAAAAGTAAGCATAATTTTAAGGCTCCTGATATATCTGGAGTTGTAGACAGGGACTCGATGTCAATGTATATCCCTACTAGCAGAATTTGAGAGTACCCATTTTCTAATATGCTCACAAATAGCACTTCGATTAAGAAAACATTGCCATTCCGAAAGTAAAAAATGATACTCCATTTATAATTTCTAGTTTATTATTAGTGAGGTCTAACACTTTTTCATAATTTATCAACTTGTGTGAGCTGTCTGTCTTTATTGGGATGTTTTTCTTTTTTCTTAATAGTTTGTAGGAACTCACTACTCTCCATGAAGATAAGACTGTAACATCTTGATCTTCATGTATTCTTAGTGCATCATAGAAGTCAATACAGACGGATTAAGTGAAAACATTGTTTTTATGCCACAAATGTCATTTTTCAGATTATATTTACAATCTAATGTTTTAAAATATAATAACAAAACTTACCATTTAAACATTTTTAGCTGTACAATTCATTGGCATTCAATACATTTACATTGTTGGTAACCATTGCCACCATCCACCTCCACCATCCACCTCCTTAGCATCTTCCCAAACAGAAATTCAGTACATATGGAAAATAAATTTTATTTCCCCAGTGCAATTTGATTACAATTTAAAATCATAAGTAGTGAAACCCATCTTTTAAAAATTAGATGTAATTTTTAACTGATACATAAAACTACAAAAATTGTAAATCCATTATTCTTTTTCCATTAGGTTGTCTTTAACATTATGTTTGGAAAGGTCTCCCTACCTAAAAAGTATGGAAACATTCATATATATTTTCTCCTACTTTGTTATAATTTCTTCTTGTTTTCTTTTCTTTCTTTCTTTCTTTCTTTTTTTTATGTTGATCCCTTTCTTTATCCAGATTTCTTTAAAAATCAAGCAAAAGTTAATGCCTGTGGGGAGACCATTCTCCTTGTATGTGTCATGTTGCTGCATGTCTCATGAGCAGACTGCCATTATCCTCGGCTAACTTTTCAAGGATGTTTATGTGGTGAACAGACTTGGAAAGTAGAGACAATGTCTCCTTAAGAGCAGAGGGCAGGTTTTTGGTTGTGCAATATTAATAAAGATAATACCACCATCTGGGGCAAAGATCAGGCAGGCTTACTGCCCATTACAAAAAGACTAGATTTCTTAAGCTTGGGGTACCTCGTCTGTATCCCTGGCACTGTATGCAGGCAGCAGCTGGCCCCCAGCTTCAGCCTGTGGGAATGGGAGATTGGAAGAAAGGTGCAAATGCTGGCTCTCTGGCTACTACTGCTGCTGCAGTGGTCTGGGACCTGGGAACTTTGTGCCTTCTGCTGTGAGCCAATGGCAGACAAACTTGGGGGTTTGCAAGCAGGTAGTTCATAGAGCTTGAGAATGACACTGAATTTTTTTTCCAAAAATTCAATTAATTTTCGAATCATTTCTTGACTGATTTGAAATTTCACCTGGATCATAAAGAAACACTTAGATATGGGGGCTGGAGGTGTAACTCAGTGGTTGGGCGCTTGCCTAGCACATGTGAGACACTGGGTTTTATACTCAACACCAAATAAATAAATAAATAAAATGAAGGTATTTTGAAAAAAGACAAAATTACAATTTAAAATAAAAAATAAGAGAAAAACTTAGATATACTTATGTTTATTTTGTATCTTTTTTGTTGTTCTATTTTTCTATTTGTCTACTCTGGAGATAATAATATATATATAAATTTTATAGTACATTTTAACATCCAGTAAATAGTTTCTTCTTTATTTTCCTTCACCTTATTTCTTCTTTTTTCCCCTCTTCCTGTCCCTGTAATATTTTGGGGCTCTTTGCATCAGAAGAAAGGTATCTGGCACATAGTGAACATTCAATAAATATCTTTTGAGTGATATTAATGAGATTGAGAAATAGTTCCTTTTCAATGTTTGCAATTATATTCATTATAGCAATGAAACTGGAAATAATTTGATTTCTCATGTGCTACAAATTTAAGAAAATAATTTAGTTGGATGTAATGGCATATGCCTATAATTCCAGTGACTGGGGAGGTTGAGGTAGGAGAATTGCAAGTCAGAGGCTAGCCTGGGATATAGCTCAGAGATGAAATACACTTGGATCAAAAGAAAATTATTTTATTCTATTAGAAAATGCCTGATATGAGGGTTCTTATACCATTTCTCTTATTTCAGAATTTCCTGGATATTTGGAGAATTCTGAAAGTAATATTTCCCAACAATCCTAAGGTGAGTTACAGGTCAATATTTGTCACCTTTTTATGGTCTTTACTATTTCATCACTCCTTATTTTCATGAGCATAAACTAGTGTTTTGTCTTTGCTAGGAATATTGCAGTTCACTGTCTAAGGGGAGTCTAGTAAAACAACAACAAAAAGTCAAATATAGCATTTTTTTATGAGGGTGCATTAGGAAGCAGCATAAGTGTTTGGACTTAGTATTCTGCCACAACTGTACTTAAGTGTCACTGACTTTATTCTTAGGGGCTTCTGCTTTTGGTGCCCTTCTCTGAGAACTATTTAGTTGGTCACTGCTTGGGCAGGGGCCTTGGCTGGGAAGGTGAAATTGCCAGCCACCCCCAAGAGTGGCCTACTACTCGGTAGAGAAACAATGAATTACCTGGCCCAGTTTCATCTGGGTTTTGCATGAATTTCTAATTTCTCTCTTGTATTCAGGGTGAACTGTACTTTCACATTCTGGAAAATTGGATAGAATTTGTGTCAGTATTTAATTTGACTCGGGTAATCTGAAAGTGCTTCATATAGAAATGAAGGTATTGAAATATTGGAGGTGGGACTAAGTTGAAAGTTTCTATCTTCCACGCACAAGATAAACCTAGTTTTCAGATAGTTTTAATACTTATCTTTCTATAAAGTCAGGCTCCATGTTCTTTATTTTTTCTAATCGAAACTGTTTATTCTCCAAATTTAGTAAAGTACTTTGTCATGTGTGAGAAAAATACATGTAATTTCTAGATACATATAACTTCTAGATAATCACATTTTAGTGAGGAGCTTGTGATCTCTGAAACCAGTGACTGGAAAAGAAACATTCACATCAAAAAACCAACTCTTTGCCAAGGGTTGCCAGGATGAATTTGAAGTTGCTTCCTTATTCTTGAATGTGGAAGTCCCCCTGCCCCAGATTTAATTGTGAAAGGCATCTGCATCATGTGGGTAATTTTGAAGTTGCATAGATGGAGCTTAAATAGTCCGCTGTGGATGTTTTATGTTTGTAAACTTTCTCTAATGTTTATCCAGTGACAATGTGAGCTATATAAGCTCCAAAGGAATAGGGATCTCGTGTCTTTATCCCTTTGCTATTCCAGCTCTTGGCACAGTACTTGGAGTGGAGTAGGTACTCATTAAGGATGTGTTGAATGAATGGTGTTCCCTTGTTACAGACTGGAGAAAATACCCTGAAGGAAGGACTGTAATTTGTCTAAGGCATGTCACAAATCATAGTAATTAAAGAATTAGAAATGGCATTCTGTTAATTTTGGTAACTAGCCTTGATGACTGAACTAACTTAATCCAGGTAGAATTATTCCTTATGCTTCTATGACCACCTACACTTTGCTATCTTTTTTATTTTTATTTTTCTGGTACCAGGGATTTAACCCCGGGGTTCTGAACCACTGAGTCCCATCCCCAGCCCCCGCTTTTTTTATATTTTATTTTGAGACAGGGTCTTGCTAAGCTGTTTAGGGCCTTCCCAGGTTGCGGAGGCTGACTTTGAACCTACAATCCTTCTGAGTTGTTGGGATTACAGGCATGCGCCACCGTGCCTGGCTTCTTTGCTACTTTTTTAAGGAGCCAAAACATTACCAACAGTCCAGAAAGGAGGGAGGCTAGAACTAAGAAAAAAAAAAAAAAGGGATCAAAGAGATATAATGAAAGCTGCATATGCTTTAGTTCTCTAAAAAGATGGTCTAATCTAATTTAAAAAGAGTTTACATATTAGTATTGTAATTTACTTGCAGTGATACAGATCTGATATCTACAATGGGCCTGTGGACAGAACAAAGCTTTGTCAAAGGAAAGTGGCTGTCACTCAACCAGGAATCAAGGGCATTTTCAAAAGGAAGAGTTGTGTTTGTAGCCATGGGGAGAATTTTTGCAAATAAACTCTTTCTCCCATAACCAAGGGTTGCCATTTTACTGGTGGGAAAACATTGCCAATTTTATGAAACATTTTAGGCACAAAAGCAAAACCTCTTAGATCCTCTTCTGAAAATAACTTGACATGAGCATTTCCCCCATTCCCTGAGGTCTGGAGCAGAGCTCTGTAATTTACAGGACATGATTAGGAAGGTTCTATGCCATTTTAGACTAATTATGTAAATTGGAAGGAATTTACCCTTTCATTCTTTATAACAAAGTATTTCCCTTCTGTGAGTACTAAATTCTAATGAAGTTTTAGTTTGTTTCCTTTTGTAACTGCTGCCTTACAGTGCTTTGTCAATGAGCATTAAACAAATAACCAGGCATCTTTTTTGAAAGACCAAAATTAAAATCCCAGATAAAGATGGTGAGACAAAACACGTTTTGCCAGTAGTTAGTCACCTCATTTGGCAGGGAGGGATTTGTTTTTGTTGCTGCTCTCTAAAAAGACACGATGATAATATAGTCGACTAGATTCTAACCCCTTTAACTTTTCCTAACGTTTCCAGGCCTTACTACTTGGCAAACACAACTTGGGACAGATTTCTTTATTTTCTCCTCTGGCCTAAAACGAAAAACCCCCACTTTCCAAACTGTTACCACCGAAGAGTTTATTAAATGGCTGAAAAAGACAGCTGGTCCTACCATCTGTTAAAATTTTTCAGGGGCCAAATAAAACAGGTTACACCTTTCGCCATGCCAAGTCTTGTGATACCCCCTTCCTCTCACAGCCTGGGGAGGGCTAATCTGAATTTCACGCTCTGATTTTGCTATTGCTAATGTTGGAGCTTCTTATGCGTGCTTCTCCACATTGCTTACATTACCTCTCTTTTTTGAGTTACAAAGCTATTCTCACATTTCAACCCGACTCATTTGCAACCTATTACCTTACCCTTCTATAATCTCTATAGTTACACCAGTGACTAGAAGGAAATCCACAGATACCTAACTAATTTCTGACTTTTCAAGCCAAAGGGGAGAGCCAAAAGTACGTTTCTGTTGTTTTGCAACCATTTTTTTCTATAAGTGCTAATGGAGGTAATTCAGATTTTGGAACAAAGGCTTAGCTCACCACACGCTGCAGGTGTGAAAGGGTTGAAACAAAAGAGATGCTAACCCTAATGGTATTTCTTGTCATTAACAATTCTTTGATGTTCACACTGGAGCCTCCCTTTTATCTTTTAGTTTTTCAGCCATCTTTGTTAACACGCAGCTCAACTGAATCTTTTCCCCCCCACCTCCCCCTGGCCTTTAAAGACATCTGCAAAATGTTTATGCTAAGTTAGTTTCCACTGCATCTTTTAGTACCAAGGCAAAGTAAAATGAGATAAAGCTTGTGAGGTTATTATTAAAACATCAGTAAGTTTCTATCATTAAGCTGAAGGGGAAGATCAATAAAAAAGGAGCACTTAATGTTACTTTAATAAGGATGAGTTTCCTGTAACAGGACTTGGGATTAACTTTAGGATCGCTGAAGAGCGCTTCACAATAAAGACGTTGCTGTGATCAGAAAAGGGTGACTTGCCTTTACCCAATTAAACAGTTTGCAAATACTTTGAATGCACTTGATCTGTTATTTCCTGTTTCATTGAAAGCCTTCATCATGAACATATTTTAAGAATATTTTACCACTGCCTTTTCTTCTCTTCCCTGTCTCATCCCTGGCAAGCTGCCAAAGATTTTTTTTTAAGCAGGTTTGCTTGTCTGTCCTTCTGTCCACTTAGGATTGGGGGAGGAGGAGGCGGGATGACAGGGCTTCAGAAAAGTTTGTTTAACTTGCTTTGATGACAGCAAAATGTAGGGAACAGTCAACACTACATGATATACTGTCCTAACCTATTCAGCAGCCGGATCTGCAACCATACTGTGGGAGCAAAGTAGAATCATATGTTTCTCACCCAAATGATTCAGCTAATCTTGCTAGTGTATTTTGCATTGTCTTGAACAAAACAGAAATGCTTGTTAATTACTTCTGAATTGATACATCTTTTATCTGTATGTGTGTGTGTGTGGGGGGAGTGAATTGTTTAACTAATTTAACATTTTCACCAGTATAAGTGGGGATCTCTGTGGACAGTTAATTTGTTTCAGTCTGAGAACTTGTTTTATGGCAAGTATTAATTTGGGGCCAGCACAATACTGAGTCACAACTGAGATAGACAGGAAACTCCCCCGGCCTTTATATATAGTTCAGCCCTAAATGACAGATACTAGGGGAAAGATAATAAGCAAAGATAAAATACAAATTAATGTTAACAATGTATCTATTTTATGATTTTCCTCTCATATTATTTAATAATTCTTAGCATTTATATGATGCTTTTCATCTTCAAAGCGCTTTACAAATGTTAACTAATTAACCATGAGGTAATGAGGCCTGGATGATAATGCTGCAGTAAATTTTCTCTAGCTCAGATTATAAAGTAAAAATGGAGATGTATGTATTCATACATTTTAAAAAATAGCATTAGGTAGTCGTAGAGATTTTGTGAATCAGAGACTCAGGCAATTTATCATCTATGTACAACTTCTGTGTATGTCTTTGTGCAAAGAATACCTTGGGCATTTCGGAAGTGGATGAACTGTCAGGATTTTCCCACCTGGCAGGTGGTTGGCAAACTTTCTGTCATTTCATCCTTGATGGTACTATTCCTTGTTATTTTCACCTTGGACTCTCTCTTCTCATCTAATAACACAGACAGATCCAAAAGGAAGGACACTCACAGTTGGGAATTAGGGACAGACACTCATTTTCTTTTTTTCTCAGATTTTCCATGGACAGATTTTAATGAAATACATGCTAAAACACCTGTGTTATTTTGTACTACCTTTTATAACGATGCTGGTTAGTTGAAGTCCATTATTTTAGAATGTGTGTATGTGCTCTGTGGACAGTTAGTCTGACATTATTTAAGGCCTAAGTAATATACTTTTTATTTTTATGTTTTATTTTTTTTTGGTACTAGAGATTGAACTCAGGGGCACGACAGGGTCTCAGTGAGTGGCTTAGGGCCTCACTAAGGCCCTGAGGGCTGGCTTTGAATTTGCAGTCCTCCTGCCTCAGTT